TTATTCTTTTTGTTTTTTAAAGTTATCCCTCTCTTAGTGTCTATAAAGTAGGACCTTATTTTGACTTTGATTTACTTCTGTAGAATGATTGTTGAGCATTTTTTCATATGCATATGGTTCATTTATACATCCTTTGGAGAAATACCTCTTCAAGTCCTTTGTGCGTTTTAACAACTAGATGTTTTTATCTTTTTGTTGTTGAATTGTAAGAGTTCTTTTATACTTTCCTTGCTCCCTCGGTCCCTCCCTCCCCTTCTTTTTTCTGCCCTCTTCCCTCCCCCTCCCCCCATCTCTCTTCCTTCTCCCTTCCCTCCTTCCCCTCCATCTCTTATTCTTTCCCTCCACCCCCGTTTGAGTTACAGTTCTGGGAATTAAACTTAGGACATACTTACTTTCTTTGCTAGTTCCCCTCCTTCCTGGACTCTTAATATCTTGTCCTGCCAGCTCTCTATAATGCAGTAGCTTCTTTGCCTCTCCAGTGTCACTAAGTAAGGAGTCCCAAATGCCAGACTTTAGACTTTTCCTTAGAATTCTTTGTTGTGCTATTAATTTTCCAGTGCCTTCAGAAAGATTTAAAAACCATTTATAGTTACAATTTTTCTTTAGGAAAAGTTCATCTGAAATACATGATCTGCCATTACCTTCAGAAGTTGAAGCAGATTCAAAGATCACCGTACAACAATGGCAGCCTTACTTCTGCATTTTTATGTAGTTTCTTAGGGGATGAAGTGAAGGAATAGAGTTCTAATGATCCTGCTAGCAATTGTACACTGGTAAACAGGTGAATATTTCTTTCCTGCTTTGTCAGTGTATCAGTTCCTTCCCCCATCACCACTGTGATCAGAATACCACATAGGAACAATTTAAGGGAGGAAAGGTTTATTTTGGCTTATTGTTTCTGAGAGTTGTAATCATCATAAAGGGAAAGGCATGGCAGAGGGAGTATATGTGGAGCGGCCCACCACTTCAAGAGCCCATTGCCTTCAGAGTAATACTACAAGCTGGGGACGGGGTTCAAAACATGAACTTGTAAGGGTCATTTCATATCAAACTAACAGGAAAAAAATTTAAGATCATTGCCCTAATTTTAACATAATTGCATTGTACCATAATTTTTGCTTACCTGGCTGTACCTATCATGGGACAGTGAGCCCCTTACAAGGAAGAATCTTGTTTTACTTAGCTTTGATCATCTAGTGCTAAACCTGGATTTAAGTACACAGTAAAATGAATGTATATATTGGAAATACCATATTTGAAAGTTGATGTTCATATAATATACTGTTCTGAGTCATCCTAAAAGATGCATTTTAGTAAACAAGGAAGAATCATTTCTTACCAGCTTTTTTTTTTCCATTCTTTCCTATTAACAGGTGGCATCTCCACAGAAAGTGACTGTGCTTTTGAGCCAGATTATGCTGTTCCACCACTTCCAGTGAGTGAAGGTATGCAGCACATTCGGATTATGGAGGGCATGTCTCGCTCTCTTCCATCCTCCCCCTTACTCACACATCAGTCTATCAGTGTTCGGCTCCAACCTGTGAAGAAATTAACTGGTAAGGAATTTACCTGAATTTAGTATGTTTGACAGGAAACCTGATAGTGTGACTCCAGATCATATCAGATGTGTTTGTGTCCATGTTTAGATACCCTTCACTTGGCTTTTCCAATGTCATAGACTCTAAGAAAGTAGAGCTCCTACTGATTTTAATTTAGAGAATTAGAACAGTACTCGGTTTGACAGATTGATGTATTCATTTTCTAAGTGACCCATCTGTTGTGCACATATTTTTCTAGGTTTTTAGGAAGTTCCTAATTTTGCCAGAATACACTATTGTTCTGACTTCATTTATCACCTTGTTCATGTCACATTAACAGATGGAGATGTTGTAATTTTAGGATTATTAGAGCTTGACAGCTCAGCAAATGTATAGACATCAGCTATGCTTTTGTTTAAAATCTTGATTTGTATATTTCACCTCTATTTTAAAAGCTGACTTAGATATTTTCCTTTATATAGAACATTACTCTAACTTCTTGAGATATTTACTGTGATTTGTAAGTTGGAGATTGCACTGGTTGAAATATGTCTCACAATTTGTGCTGCTCTTTCAGTTCATGTTGTTAGGTTTAAAACTAGGTCTTTTTTAAAAATTATTTATTTAATAACCACATACTTAGAAGAAGCATTTCATTACA